CACATCAAATTCCAAATAGATCCAATCCTCATTTCCTCCAAAATACAATTACAAAGGGAGAATTATGAGAATCCAAACATAGTCTTTACTCCTTACTTAGTAGGAGATTACATAGAGAGATAAAGTTAAAAGACTTTAAGCCTTCCTCTCTCTCTCTCTCTCCTCTTCCCTTTTATTCCCTCAAAATGGAACCATCTCCCATGACCTTAATTTACATATACATCTTTTGAGTTTTACACAAAAAAACTCACCATAAATTAAGCAAATTAGATCAACTCACATGACTTGTATATACAAAAATTACATTCTCTCCATCTCAAAGACCCCTCAAAAAAACATCTTCTTCCTCCTCCTCTTGATATTTTCCCAAAAGCACAAAGCCCTCTACTTTTCTCACAAAACTCTGCTTCTTCCAAAACAGAGGGCTCTGTTCCATACCCTTACTGTGTCAAGCTACAGCAGAGATGCTGCAGTTCCTGCGGTCCCTGCTAAGACAATCAAACCCTTCGATCCGCACCGCGACTGGCTTGTCCCCGGATTTCATCCGGACACAGCCTCCGTTGCGCGATGACAACACGGGCTGTGTCGGCGAAAACGGAGCCATATTGCTGCTGTTGCCGAAATGCTCGTCTTGGATTACAGGATTTGATGCCCTGCTCGGCGGAGACCCGCAGAAAAACGGCGGCGATGAAGCCAATTGATTAGTACTGAATCTATCATCACAATTCCCCTGTTTTCATAAATTAACCACAAAACAGGATGAAATAATTAGCTTTTGTTCTTGGGATTTTTTCATAAGTTGAAGATTCAGCTAAAACATGACAACAGAATTAAAAATAAACTAATTCCTGCCAATTAAAAAAACAAATTTCGAACCACCAAACAAGAAATATAAAATGAATACAAGAAATGATTTCCACAAGCTCTTTTTCTCTGCACAACCTACATACCACGGTTTATTTATTTGGAAACTTTAACAACAAAAAATTTCAATACTGTTCAATTTAACGAAAAACTATACTTTTACACTAAAAAAAACTTAAAGTTTTCAAATCATTTTCATTAATTTTTTTTATTTATGTCACTTCATTCGACTGGATGCACGAAAAAAAAAAAATCTTTAACGAAAGCTTCCAGTAATGTTTAATTTAAAAAAAAATTTATATTTTTATATTAAAAAATCAATCATGATCCTTTTATTTTATTCTTATTTTGTAGCCCTTTTTATTATTTTTCTTAAAAAAAAAAAAGTGGGCACAAATCATTTTTTCTGAATATTAGCTCAAAATACTAAAACACGAGCGTAATGACGTTCTACGATTTATATACCGACCCCACTTACTGAAAAAAGACTTTGTTGTTGTTGTTTTTATTATTAGCTCAAAAATACATCCCATGAATATTAGGTCAACAAATTTAAGGGGAAGAGAGGAACCTTGGTGAGAATAATATCCAGAATCTCAGACCCAGCTTCAGAATCTCCAATCTCCGATTGGTTGTGACTGTTGCAGCAGCAGAATCAAAAATCAAACACCCAAGAAAGAACAACCTTTGACTCGACCTACGAATTAAAACCTTAAGAAAAACAGATAAAGTGTGAGAAAAAAAAAGGTACGTACTTGAAGTATCTGAAGGGTCTGATGTTGTCGTTCAAGGAAGAAGTAAGGAAGCTCAATCGACGTGGTTTTGGGCACACAACTGAATCCATCCCCTCGCAGCCTACCATGGCGCTCTGCTCGTAACCGCACCTGCTCATCATCTTTGCTTCTTCTGCTGGAGAGATCTCACCAACAATAAAGCCTGCCCACCCAGATTTCATTTCATCAAAATCAACCCCAAAAAAATAGAATAAAATAATACAAACTTTTGGATCAAGATTTAAATATAAAATATGATTTTTGTTAAACAACCCCAGAAGGAAAAAATGGGAAATTATGAGTTTTTCTTCATGATTTTTTTAACAAGTTGCAGATCTGCTGATGGAAAAGTTGCAGAAAACTCAGGAAAAAAAAGGGAGGAAACAAGAACCTTGAGCTGCAGCCACAGGAGGCTCCTCCGGGAGGATTTGAGAGGAAGAAGAAACCGGGTCTGCAAAACAGAGATTTTTTCTGGGCGTCTGAGAGGGAGAGAGAGATAAGGGTTGGGAGGCTGAGTATTTATGATACGTAGAAACAGGGGACGGAGAGAGAGAAAACAGATGATGATCTATATTGTGGACCGTTGGATGAGGTTGAGATTGGTGATGGATGAGCCCGATTTGGTCCACGTGGTCGGGATCTCCAGCTCGTTTTCTTCTGTAATAATAGTATAATACTATAAATAATTAATAATATTCTTATTTTAGCACAAGCCTACTAAGGAAAATATCTAAATTTTATTTATTTATAGCCAATTTCCCATTGACCAGTGACCATTGACTCTGTGCAGTGCACAATCCAACTATTTTTTTTTATAAATTTTCTGATAAACTTGATAGATTATGATTAAGGAGACTCAAATCTTTATCTAACTCTTAAATTTGAAGTCCAGCAGATTTTCTTGTTATTTGATTAGAACAAGTTGAAATGGATAATCAACCAAAAAAGTATAAAAGTATCTGCACTGTTTGAACAACTCTTTAGATGATGCAATGAGTCTTTAAGATAAGTGAGAAATTCAGTAAAGCTGTTTTTTCTTTTTCTTTTTGTCGAAAAAGATTTAGTAATGTTGTTTTAATAGGTCATTTTTCACATCGAATATGAACATGTGAGATCAAAATATATAGAATGTTCAAATTTTTATAAGGATGTGATATCTACACATTATTTTTTAATTCTCTCATATCATTTTAATTTTTGACCTTCATCAGATGAATTGAAGAAGATAAAAGAATAAAATTAACAAAAGATGTGGGAGAAATAAAAAGGAATATGTGGATAACACACCACTTTTCATAAAACATAACGTACAAATAACATGATCAGATTGTCGTAACCATATTTTTTTTCTTAAAGTGGTTCTACACCCAATAGGCAAAATGCAATTCGTGGAGCCATGAAATTGCCACAAACTACACGAACGTGGTTTTGAGTATGTTACTTTGCCAAACCCGAATTTGAAAACTATTGGACAAAGTTTAAGGAAGCATATCAAAGTTTGACGACAAAAAAGAGGGGGTCAAAAAACATGGCAGATGATAGTTAATTAGATTCCGATGGGTTAAGGCTTGTAGAAATGGCTAACTGCAAGGGTGCGTTTGGTACGTGGGACGGGACAGGACGGAACGGGACGAGGCGTTCCGTCTCGCATTTGGTGCGTCAAAAATGGGTGGAACGGGCTGTTCCACAGGACAGATTTTGGGTGTTTTTGCGTCCCACCTCCCCCTAGAACGGGTTTGTTCCACGTCTGTGGAATACAATGTTTTACCATTTTAAGACAAATATACCCCATGTCTTTTTCAAAAATTACACCTTCGTTCCGTCCCGTCTGCGTACCAAACGCACCCCAAAGGAACGTCAATGATTCCAATCCAAGCTGGAAAGGACAGACATGTCTGTAACACACAGAATGGAAGTGGGAACCACAGCTCCACACCCTTTCCTTTATTTTCAATTCTTCCTTATACCACTGCCTTGGGGATGTTCATAAAGTTAGGAGAAGGAGTTACATTTATTTGGAACGAATACACTGTTAAGGTGACATAGTGTGTTATAAAATAAGAGCAATATTAGAGGGATTAACTATTTAAATCAAATTTTATAAATCGTATGATGCGGTTATTAACGATTGAATTATTACTTAAGTGTTCATTAACGTGTTTATTTTCTATTGCTGACACATCATATAGTTTGCAAATTTGGTTTACTAGCATTACTCGTAAAATAAAGATATATGTAAATTTTTGTTCGTATGTAATTGTTCCATGACGGGGCATCACGTAACAATGTACCATGTGCTATGTATGTTGTTCTAGTAATACACCTTTTTTTTGAAGGATCATCATCTTCACTGCATCCTCGATTCAAACTCTCCACGCTCCTGTTAATGAATATTAGTGTAGAAAATCTCTTGTATTTAAAAAAAATGTTTAATTTGGTTAGTATTTTCATGTAACAATTTACCCTGTGCTATGTATGTTGTTCTAGTAATACACCTTTTTTTCTTTTCAGGATCTTCATTTTCACTGCATCCTTGATTCAAACTCTCCACGCTTTTGTTAATGAATATTAGTGTAGAAAATCTCTTGTACTTAAAAAAGAAGAAGTTTAATTTGGTTAGTATTTTCATCATTATTTAAGGGCCTGATAGGCCTGTACAATGTCTTGGGTAGGCTTAAGCACGGCCCACTAAACTAGATTAAGGGCCTGGTAGACCTGTCTCTCTGCCTTTGAACTCGATCTTCTGCGCAACGCCAATTCCAGAGAGAGATGATGTTTCAGAAGACTGAGAGGCAGATGGTGTGGCCGGGGACAACCTTGGCAACCAATAGTTTGGTAAGTAGTTTCTCAAGCTTTTGTTGTTATTTTTATTATTTCAATCTTCTGAAATATATGCGCAAGTCATACGAGCCATATAAAGAGAGATTGGAATTCCCAAACCCTATAGTATGTATCATACTGTTAGTTAGCAAACAAAACAATGATTGATTATAATTTATATGATAAATTAAGGAAGTGATTGATTATAATTTATATGATAAATTAAGGAGAGTGATAGGGTTGACGACACAAATTTATACGGCTGAAATCAGATTATTGTTGCGTATGAATTATAATCAAGTATCAGTTACAATTAACATCATGTGCACAAGACTAACTTTAGCAGTTCTAATTGTAATGGATTAAGGAACACATTCTTGTTTTGATGTTGTAGTGACGAGATTTTCAAATATACTCCGAGCTATGTTATACTACAAAATTTTCAGCAAATGATATCTATGACATTCACATTTGAGATTATATTTTAAATTTTTATATGGTAATTAACTGAGTATAAAATGAATATATTTCCTTTGCCCAACTACAATAGTCAATGGGACATTACCTTTAAAAAAAGTCATGAAATCTCAATGTAGCTCCACCCTCCAGATACAAAAATCTTAAAGATGTTGTTGATTTATTAGACTTTATTTATTTTTTTCATCCCCCAACTAAGTGGGTCCTAAACCCTAAATTAACCACAAATATATGATATAACCCTAATCCCTTGAGTGTACCATGTGCTACCTTTTTTATTCCACCTCATCTTCATCATGTGTTTGCAGCAGCCTTCATGCTATTCTTCCTCTTCAGTCTTCTCTTCTTTTGATTCAGCTCAAGTCCCTGCTTGTAGATAAACCCTAATTTTTTCTTAAAAAAGCTAAAGCTAAAGTTCCTCTTGTCTCTATCTCTTTATGTTCCTTGTCTCTCTCATAACATTCTTTCCTGGATTCCAAATCTTCAAAGTCCATGTCACCTTCATGTGCTTATTACTTTGATATGTAGTTATAGGCCCTACCTCCATAACATAATATTATATATTAGAGTGGTATTTACAAAAGGGTACCTGCTGCTGCTGGGTGGGTAGGATATTCATTCATTCTTTGTGTAGTCATGCATGCACATTCATGTCACGATGTCTAGTCATGAAAGCAACACAATGGTGGTACGTGGGTTATTGTGCTGGGAAGAAAAGTGGGGACGAATCTCTTTGGTATCTTTTCCCATCCAGAACTCTCACTTTGCTCATCTTTGCTTCGCACCAATGTAATTGTTCTGCATTTAGGTCGGTCATTCTCAAAACCCTAGACACCAATTTTAGGTCAATTAGACCCATCAGTATCTCCATCTCTTCCTCCACCTTCAAGCTTCGCTTTCTCAGGCATTTGTGGGAACGTCGAAGATCTTTGATTTTCATCTTCTTCTGCTCATGAAATTGGGAGAAGTAAGAATATATTCAGAAATTATTATACATTAACTTAAAAGAACGGGCGGGCATTGATATTGTTAAGAATGTATCAATCACAAGTTGGTACACTTTTACAACAGTAATATTGACATTATTAATAACATATCGACAATCAGTTTTTAATAAAGTACTTACATTTTGGACTATATTTGGTATTAGTATTATCGATATTACTATTAACATATCGACTGTCAGTTCTTTAATAAAGGATGGACTTCCGATTCTAGACTATATTTGGTATAGTAATAAATAATTATAACATAACATAATCAAGAATTGTGATACACACACACACTAACTTACTTTTTGATTGACTTTCTTCATCAGATGGAGAAGAGTGGGATCAACTGAACCTTTTCGTTTTCTTTTGAACATGGATACTAATTTCTGGCAGGGTTTTTCCTTATCAGCCTTGAGAAAATCCATGAACGTTCGGATTCCGTCTTCCATTATCATTAAAAATGCAGCTGATGAAATTTTTGAGCCAAAACCTTCGTCCTTTTCATGCTCACCATCTTCTGAAACTTAAGACATAGAAGTCATGCATTAGTTAATTAACTTTGTTTGATCCCTAGACATTTTTCATATCTTTGATACAACTTTAAAAATCCTATCATGTAACATTGATCAAATTGTTAAAGAAAAAGAGTGAATTAAAAGAAGTTAAAGTACAATTCCTCTGCAGATGTACCTCTATATTCTGGCACTTGAAGTAACTTTGGTGCCAAAAGCCTCATCCTAGCATAAATCTCTGGCCTCCTGCCTTGCTCATAAGGCTCATTCTCTACATATCTTCGTAGAAGCACTTGAAATTGCTGAAATTGCTGTGCTAATTCGCCAGGAACGCCGGGATCAATTTCACGTCGTGATGCCCTTTTTTGCTCAAAATTCTTGTAGTTCCAATTAAGTGCTTCCCATGTTAAGCAAATTTGTGCAACGTAAGCAGCCTCCAGCTCATGATAAGGGTTGTGACGTACATCAGGCGGCCTTTTTGTTGCCATAGAGATTCTATGAACTATCCTTTCCGAAATTGATCTTGGACAAACTTGAATAGACTTAAGTGATTCTAAAATAAAAATATAGCATGTGTAATGTCAGCTTAAGATATTAATAAAACAAATCATTACAAAAAGGAAGAAAATATAGCTAAATTAAACTAAATTTAAAATTACCTGTTTCATGGAGCTTTTGGGCACTAATTCTGTCTAAGAACATCATTTCCTCATCATACTTTTGGAAGACTGTGTAAGACTCCCATTTGGGGCAGCTTCTCCGGGACGAGGAAGAAAAAGGATCTTCAGTGGCAGAATCCCTGCAGTTAATTGAGCTTCTCCATTCAGAAGAGCTCTTAGAAGTTGATCCAACAGTTGAGTCACCAAAAATTTCATCCTCTTTATTGTCTTGAACTTGGAACTTCTTGTTCTTCAATTGTGATGGCCCGTAAACAACAAAACTTTCGTCACCGGATAAATGCGTCTGATCTGCCCTATTGATTTCAGTATTGTGTTCATCACAATTATCTGTATGATCAAATAACATAAGCAATGTCAGGCTGCAGATAGTACAAGTATTAGAAGTACATCATGTGACTAGCTAGCTAAGTGTAACAAACTTTGGTGCTTGCTATAATGTGACATACCGTCACCATTTTTGTCACTTTTATCTAGTTCTATAGTTATCGGAGATGTGGACCACACTCGATCATTCGCGACAGAATTGAGAACTGAAACTGTTTCTTTCACTGGGATTTCCTCCACGCCTTGATCTTCATATTCAGATTCTGAGCCTTGTGGTGACTCATGCAAAGATTCATCTTGGCGTTCTTCAATTATTAAGCTCTCCCGTGCGCTAATGAATTGGTCTTCGGAATTTTTTTTTTGATGATGATGCTGAAGGTTATGGTTGGGCAAAAACCTTAATGATTCGTTGCCGCGTATGATGTCAGCCACCAGATCATGATCATTTATGGTTCTGCAGTATTGGTGACTATGAACATGAAACTGCCTTTCTTCGTCTTCTTCTTCGTCTTCTTCTTCTTCTTCGTCTTCTTCTAATTCTTCTTCTTCCTCCTCCTCCTCTTCTTCATCCGAAAACACGTAGTCTTCGCAACCATTCTGGCTTCTGCAATCCAACAAATAAATGCATACAAAAGGGTGACGATTTAAGTAAATTAAAGAAGTAAAACACAAAAGCGAGCATGCAGTTAAGAACTTAAAACTTAAGGATATAATTAAAACCTTGGGAAAATAGGGTTGCTGCCGACAAAGTAGAAGAGTTTGAAAAGAAAAATGGAGGAGACGTAGAGGAAGAGGAGGAGGAGGAGGAAGGAGGAGGAAGTGTTGTTGAAGAGCCTAACAAGTGCTTCCTCAGCTGAACATGGCATTTTCTTCTCCAAAAAATGAGTTTCTATGGAGCCTCTCTCGTAGTCTCTCTCTGTCACAAAGCACAATGGCAAAATGGGAGTAGTACTTGAAAAAAGTTAAAGCCTTCGCTTTGGTTTGCTTTCATAAATCTCTTCCTTGTTGGTCGAAATGGTTCGTTTGATTTCCAAAGAAATGTCTCATGTATCCTCCAATATTGCAAGTGCCAACTTTACCTTATATATGTTCCATATTAATAATTAGATATAATTATAAATAAGTAGCTTAAATTGTCTATTTTATAGTAAAAAATACTTAAAACGCTATTTGAAAAAAAATAAATTCTTAAACTCAACTATTATTGCAACTATTGTTAACATCATAGAAGTAAAAAAAATCTCTAAAGTTTGATTCGTAAGTATTTCTCACTAACACCAACAGCTATTGTTGAGATTGCACGAACTTTTTCTTCTTTTTTTCTTTGAGTAAATTGCTTATGAAAATCTATTCCTAATTAGGTAGAAGTAGAAGGTCAATCCTATGAAAATAGTTCTCTCGCATGTGCTCACATTGTGTGAAACAAATCGTGATCCTATTCTACAAGAAAGGGGCCTATGCCATATCCAAATAAACAAATATAACTAGAAACAAAAATAAAAGGAAGAGACCAAAACCAAGCCACACGCATTGGTAGACATGTGTGCATGCCACTTTTTATAAAGAAGTATTAGGATAATATTATTTCCAAACAAAAAGAAGTTGAAATAAAGTAAATAATTTCAATTAGGTAATTACAGGGAAAAAAAAGGATATGACATAAGTTTCTGGACAAGGTTTTGGTCAGATAATTAGGTTAGGCTTGAAGGTATTAGTATTCTTTGCCTCCTATAATATATAAAGAACCTTTTTATAAAGCTATAAATTAGAGGTGGTGTCAATTGGAGCTTCTCTTTTGGAAATCTTCTTAGTTGTTTCTTCTTGTCTTTAACTTTGCCACTAAGATTTCTGCAGACATGTTTGTCGATCCAATCAGCGGTTGATTACTTGATCAGGCACGAATCAAATCACCAGAATATGAAGCACTAAACTATGATTTGTATTAATTAATTAGTTTACAATGGACCGAGTCTTTTATTTTTTATTTTTACAAACGATATTATCCGCACTAAGGGGTTGGGGAGTGAGTGCCTCACAATGGGCTAGCAATAATGTGGTTCAAGTTTGCGTTTGGCGAGAATCGAACCTAAGACCTCTCACTTACGAGGTAAGAGGAATACCACTAGATCGTAGTACTAAGTGACTACAATGGACTGAGCTTTTAACTACAACTTCGTACCTTTGTTTGACAAGCCCCAAAAACATCAATTCCTAAAGAGTTTTTAATGTGGACGGAAATACGGGGTGATATGTCATATGTTGTTCTACAAATGGAGGGATGTGTTTTTTTTTTTTTTTGGTCATGGGATTTTTTTTTTCAAGTGACATATATATGGCGTATGTGTTTGTGTTCCAACCACATTGAAAAATTTCTCCAATTCTTGATTCCCTAATGGTAAATACATTCCTAAATGTAACTCAGAAAATTCTGTTTACACCCAAAGTTGTCTCTAGACACACAATTTCTTTGGGTACCCCTAATTATTTTTAAATTTCTTTGGACACCCAAACGCATTTAAGAATATACTAGAACCTTTAAAAAAGATTTATTAATTTGAAAATTAATAAATAAAAAAATGAATTGTTTTTAACGGCCAAGCCGCCATTGGAGAGGGGAGAGGCAGACTCGGGAGAACCTTGAATGCACAAGGGTTTTCAAGGAACGTGTTTGGGCCTAAATCATGATTTTGGCAGAATTGAGTTTCGGTAGTCTCGGCCCAGAAGTAAAATGCATTGTTGATGGAGTAGCCGAGTCTCGGGGTAAGTTAGAGTTGTTGAGATTGAGATGTTTTCTAATACGGATCAGAATATTCTAAAGATTGAAGATTGTGGTTGGTGGGATGAAGAATGAATCAGTCGCATAATAAGTTTAGGTTCAGAGCTTTAATCGAAAAGGGTGAGACTTGGTGCTACAGTTTTGGCGGAAAATTATTCTGAACATATTCAGAGAATATGCTGAGGAATTGAAATATTATCATAATATTACAACTCGGCATACTTAGGCATCAAGAAAATTTGTTCCTATAAATACGAGAGGATTTGCAATGTAGAGATCTCTTCAACTCAATAAACAACTCAAAACGCTCTACTTGAAAACCCTCACTCTACACGAAACCCTTCTCACAACCTTGAGAAAATACTATCCTAACCCTCTTATCAACACAACTTCACTTTCGATAAGTAAACATCAGTGCATTGACAACCGGCGACATCTTCAGTTTGGATAAGTAAACAACACTGGAACTTGAAAGTTGAGCGATATAGAAGCATCTTCAGTTTGGACAAGCAAACAATATTGTTTCTAGTTGGTTGGTTATCTATTTAAGTCTAGGTCGGTATCACTTCATTAGCCCTGACAAAGTGAGGTGTTTTATGATCGGTTACTCTCAGGTGCACTTCTTAGTTTAGTATTCAGACGGCCGAACTACGTTGACCATAAAGACACTTATTTTCTTTGAGTATCTTTACCCGTATAGCCTGACATTGATAAAAACAAATACAAAATTAAAAAGAGAAAAGAAAATTAGAGTTTTTGACGGCCAAGCCGCCATTGGAGGGGGGGGGGGATAGAGGCTAGAGAACACCTTGTATGCACAAGGTTTTCAAGGAACGTTTTTTCCTTTTTAATTTTGAGTAATTGCCTGTTGTTTTGGCTATGGACTAACCAGAGAGAGGGCCTTGCAGTAGGATTGAGAAGAGGAGGTCGGGCGATTGGAGTGAGTAGCAGTGGCTAAGAAGGCTATGGTGTTCACTGTTCAGCTATGAAGCACATAAGGGCTCCTTTAGGACCACCACCACCATTGGATCAATTTTGAGAGAGAGATAAAGATGTATTGGTGGATAGGTGGTTGGATGCTGTAGGATGGACTAGCTGGTGGTGTCATCAGGTAGGGAGGAGGCGCCAATGGAAGATCACCATCACGTCTTCTATTTTCTTTTTACAAAAAATAAAAAAATTATTAACACTTTTGTTAATAAATTGTTATTAGATAGAGGGGCTCCTACATGTAGAAGGGTAAAACTGTCTTGAACTCTTTTTTAAGAAAATTGGATGTCAAGAGACAATTCTTGAGTGCAACAGAATTTCCCCATATAACTCACGGAAAGCTCCATTGCATGATTCTATGGAGGGTAAAACTGTTATGATTTATCATTCTTCTACTTTTAAACTGGACAACATTTCTTGTTTCTTTCTTTCAACGTAGCTTGGATGTAGTGAGTTATCCAATTCAGTTCAAATTAAGCATCAATAAATTTTGGTAATAAGTAAAAATGGAGGGAGTTTCGATATTGAAAGAGAGAGATAAAGGAGATGTATTGGTGGATAGGTGGTCGGACGCAATGGGGATGGACTAGTTGGTGGTGTCGTCAGGCAGGGAGGAGGTGCCAATGGAAGATCACCATCACGTCTTCTTTCTTCTTTTCACAAAAAAAGAAAAGAAAAAAAATAACGCTTTTGTTAATAAAAAGTCTTTTTAATAAAATAGGAGGGAGTTTCGAGCTTCTAATTTAAAAAGGCATCATAAAGTAAATTTTCAAACCAAATACAGTGGTCTAAAAAATATCGCCTAGACAGTTGCCCACTGCCACGATTAATTCATAGAAGTTTAAAAAATAAGAAATGACATTTAGATCTGCCTAGGCGTCCACCTGGTCAGCCTATAGATCTGCCTAGGCGCCCACCTGGTCGGCCTAAACTTGCCTAGACACCCTCTTAGACCACTTTTGTCTCGACTCACATAGACAAAAAATAAATAACTTTCAATTTTTTGCATTTTATTTTTTCAATAAATCATAAGATATTTGCTGGGTACTTAGATAAACGTTCATTATATATATGCTTGTTCTCAATGTTTTCAATATATTATAGTACTTTATAACTTATGTGTCATTTTATTTTGCAATTTATGTATCCTCATATAATTATGTATTTGTTTAAGTATAAATAGACATTTATTTATATGTTATATAATAAATTTAAGGGCAAAAGACTGTTTACTACCCTTATGTTTCGTGGTTTTCAACATTTAGTACATCAAGTTTTTTTTCGTCCCAGAGTCATACCTAAAGTGTAAATTTTGGGACTGTCTCATACATCCATTAGTCAAACTGTTAAGTCTGCCGTTAACAGTGACGTGGCGCCCATGTGGACAATGACTGGACACCACGTGTCATCCACGTGAAAATTTAAAAAAAAAAATATATATATATTATAAAATAATAAATAAATAAAAAAAAAAAATTTTAAATGTTTTTTTTTCTTCCTCTTTCTTCTTCTTCCTTCTTCTTCCTCCTTCTTCCTTCTTCTTCTTCTTCTTCTTCGAATCTGCCCAGTTTTTTTTTTTCTTCTTCCTCCTTCCTTCTCCTTCGAATCTGCCCAGTTTTTTTTTTTTTTTTTTTTTTCTTCCTCCTTTCTCCTCCTTCTTCTTCTTCTTCTTCTTCCGAATCTGCCCAAATTCGGTTTTTTTCTTCTTCCTCCTTCTTCCTTCTTCTTCTTCCTCTTCTTCTCCCGAATCTGCCCAGATTCGGTTTTTTTTTATTTTTAAATTTTATAATATATATTATTTTATAAATTTCCACGTGGATGACATGTGGCGCCCAGTCATTGGCCACATGGGCGCCACGTCACAGTTAACGGCAGACTTAACAGTTTGACTAACGGATGTATGAGACTGTCCCAAAATTTACACTTATGCAAAAGGTAATGATACAGTGATCATAGTGTAAATTTCAACCCAAAAATATAATACTGAGCACCCGAGAGAGAGATGTTTCTAGTCTTCTAGAAACCCTAGCATGCAGGAAAGATGGATGTAGTACTACATCAAAAGCTGGAGTTAGGATTGAATTTTATGTAAAGCTTCGAAGACAAAAGGAGGTGAGTGAGTGAGTGAAGAAAAAGATCCAACAGAAACTCTTTAGATACGGTCGTGCGGGTTGGTCACCATTTTAACCACTCTTGGTAAACTTTGTGCACACTGATTATAATTAATTAAATAAATCAGAAACAGAACATAAGCCACACCTATAGCCTGCAGCCAACCATTATATATATATATATATATATATATATATATATGCATTGAAAGATCTTTAAACTGTCAATTAGGCAATATTCTTTGCCATAAATAAACTATCATATCATGCAAACTTCCAAACATGCAATCTAATTAATTAAAATTTGCAGCATATCAAGCAATCTACCCATGATGTATCTGTATATAGGCTATATTTGGTATTATTTAAGATAATAAATAAACTAATTAAACTTCATATATTATAGTAATCAACGAGTTGCAAGGACTTTCACAATCAGAAGAGAGATGATGTTGTTTAGAGTGTTAATCTGATACAGAAATTAAGGAATTATATACGTGTTTACAAAGAGTTGAGTTATTTCTTTGATTGTCAATTGGTTTTATAGTTGTTATTCAATTTTCTTCAATTTTATGGTAGAACATCAACTTTATTTATGATATACTGCTCATTTGCTTCTAATATGTGTTGTCTACATTTTAGACTTAAATAATATCATACATGAAGGGTGTGTTGAGAATGTGAATTCATGTCAAGAAATTAAGGGATTTTACATGTGTTCTTCTAAGGAGTTGAACTTTCTCCTCAACTTGTTTGAGATGTCAATTGATGACAAATGTCGGTAATTTATGATTGGATGAAAAGGGATAATACTGTATAGATTGCCATGTTCCCATTGGACTGATAGTACGTAGTAGTAGCGTAGCCAAGGTTTGGTGGGTAGAAATGGGTGAAGGTTGTTGGAATGGATCATGGAATTAAAAACAAAATACATGAAATCTGGTACAACAAAGACAAAACCTCATGCCTTGCCACTCATCTTCTACCAAATTTTATTTAAAACGACACAATTTTCTTATCCACCATGATTGAATCATTCGTAGTCAATGCCACAGCCGTATGGAGCTTGGTAATAATCTCAAGCCTCAGAGACGACTACCAGAAAATATACATACCCCTCTATTACTTGTTCATGTATAGTAGTAGCTGGGGTGTTTTGGTAAATTCAATTATTTAATTTCATAAGAAAAGTAGTACTTTCCATTTACCATCTTTGTCAAAGTGTTAGCTGTAGTTATCAAAATATAAAAAGAACAATGTGGCTAATGGGTAGGCTGCTTCTTCTTGAAGATTGAGTTTATACAACACAAAGTACACACCATTAATACCTGATCACCTTGAGCTTTACTTTTAAGCTAGCCGGCTAGCATCAGATATCCATACTAGGGTTTCTGCTAGCTGCTTGCCTTTTCTTAATTTCGCATCGAAATCAAATCCACTTGGTTTGTATATCGAATCAAGAATGCAAGAGAGTCTTCCTCCAGGGTTCAGATTCCATCCTACAGATGAAGAACTGATAACGCACTATCTGTCCCACAAGGTTTCCGATGTTAGTTTCACGTCGAAAGCAGTAGCAGTCGTTGATCTTAATAAGTGTGAACCTTGGGACCTCCCAGGTATATGTGTGGTCAGATTATATATTTATATGTGCATCATATTCAACCCTATTCTTCTGTACATCTGCCTTACATGTTTGCCTCTTCCTCTAAATTCATCTGATTATACCTAATTTTCTATGATATTTCATTTCTCATTCCTTGCTTTTAGTAACGATCTTGATGAGATCACAATCTGTATTTCTTGAATTTGCCTTTTTTGAACTTACGCAAGTAAAGCAATCTTTCTTGAAAACTACATGTAATCCAAAAAGGAAGAAAGGATAGTTTGGGGAGCAGATCTAGGCTTAGTAAGTGCACTAAGTTCGAGTCTCTCTCCCTACAATTTGGGTTACTTCAATATAGACTATTGCTTGGATCAAAATGGGAATGAAATGTTCCAATCTCTTCCTTCCTCTCTGATCTGTTTGCCAACCACACCAAATACACAGTTCCCACGACATTTTTTCATATAGTGGACTTTTCTTAGATTTACAGTAGATCTTTTTATTAAAAAAAGGCAAGTAGACCTTTAAAAATTGTTTCACAATATGCATTTTTTCTTATACTAATTTACCAAAAGATATACCTGAATACTATGTTTTCAGTACGTTCTTAGCTTAAATATTCATACTTTTGATAGGAATAATTTTTTACGGTAACGTATTTAAGTGATATATGCAACTTATAGCAAACTAAATTATTATGCGGTTGGTGCAGGCAAGGCTTCGATGGGAGAGAAAGAATGGTACTTCTTCAACCTGAGAGACCGAAAATATCCAACTGGACTCCGAACCAACCGAGCCACCGAAGCCGGCTACTGGAAAACAACTGGGAAAGACAAGGAAATACGTCGTGTAGGTGTGCTGGTTGGGATGAAGAAAACCCTAGTTTTCTACAAGGGGAGAGCTCCAAGGGGTGAGAAAAGCAACTGGGTCATGCATGAATACAGACTAGAAAACAAGCATCCCTTCAAATCCTCAAAGGTACAAATTTCTACAGAAGCACAACTATTGGGTCGTTTGAGGCTGTTATCTTAAAACCTCTTCGACTGATAACACTTTTGCTAGAAGTGCCTGAAAAACACTTGGAGGTTCTTCTAAAAAAGGTGTTTTTCAGAGAAGTCTTCTATTAAACATAAACACTCCAAACTTTTTCTGTAAAACATATTCATTAGCACTTTTGGCTGCCATAAAGTGCTTTTAGCCATTTCAGAAACAATCTTAAACACTTGGCCTTTATAACTCGATTTTATTATTTATAATTCTTTAATTTGCTACGTTTAATTTATGCAGGAAGAATGGGTGGTTTGTAGGGTTTTCCAAAAAAACATTAGTGCAGTGAAAAAGCCACAACAAGCAACAACATCCTCACAGAAGCAGCCAACCAACGAGTCTCCATGCGACGATACGAACTCAATTGTTAACGAATTCGGAGACATCGAGCTGCCAAACCTAAACAGCAATATTAACGCAAATTCATCCAGCGGGTTCAGCAACAACATTTCTTCACCCCAAAGCTATTACAGCAATATTCTTGATCACAGCAAGAACAACATAGACGACGTTACCAACATGAGTTTGAAAATGACTTGGGCAGCAACAGCGGCAAGAGAGGCAGCCGCCAACGCTCTTTCATTGCCGTCAAGCTTGCTAAGTCCCTCGAATCTTTCGGTGAATTCGTTGCTTCTTAGGGCATTACAACTTAGGAGTAGTACTAATAATAATGGTAGTAATTATCAACCAAGAGCTACTAATCATGTTCAAGCTACAGCAGGCACTAGTACTCTAGATTACTCATCATCATATAATACTATCCAGCAGCAAGGAATGATGCCGTCAATGTCTCATAATCACTTTGGATCCAGTACTACTATGGATCATATAAATTCAAATTTCCAAGCTTCTTCGTCGAGTACTAATGATCAGATGATGGAATCGATGCCGCTGCAGCATTCGGAGCAACCATTCAATTTGGACTCCATTTGGTGAAGCTGTGAAGTGTACGGCCTGATCCAAAGAATAAGCTGACATCTTGTAAAGTTCAGCATCGTAGCTGTATTAATCCTGAAGTGCTAGTTATGAAACAAATGCAGTACCACAGGGAGAGTAGACTTCTCACATGCACACACGTAAAGTTCGATAATGCTCCATATATTTATAACTATGTTGGATTAATGTCGAAAAATAATAGGGTTCTTGCCCTAGTTTATGGATCTGTTAATTATGTTGAAGAGTTCTAGTACTGTTACTTATGTTAGTCCAGATATGATCAATGCATGCTGGTAGGGAAAACTCCCTATGTTTAATTTGTACCCTCTTATATTATGTAAACATCTTTTTCATGGTCAAACATCTCAACACATTTCTCTCTCAAATTTCTTACGGTAATCTACACAATGAAGGTGATGGTTAAGAAAATGAAAGTCCATCAGCCATCGTTCACAAGAACGATTTTTAATATTATTACAAAATTCGAACCAAATTAGCAGATAAATGCAAAGTTATTTAGAGATCTCAAGAGAAATATAAACTATTCAGATCTACACAATGTCTTAATTAACGAGGAGTGAATTTATGTTAATTGTGTATGAACGAGATACCAAGCTAACCACATTTAAAAAAATTTAATTATCTTTAGATCGACTAAAACATTCTCAAGGAATATTTGTATATATGAACTTATTTGGAATGAGTTGTATTCAGCATTAAAATTAATATGATACATGATTTCTCTACGTTTAATAACAAATATGAAACCAACAAATAAAAAATGTAACAAAATCAATTATGAGAGAATAGTTTTGTTTTCAATAATTCAATAATTATGAGAGAATAGTTCATCTTATTTTAATAGAGAGTTAACGAAGCACATCTGGTACTGTTCACTCTTAATAAAAAATCACATTTTTACATTTCTCTGGTACTATTCACTATACATTTATTAGTTATTTTTTATTAAAACTAAAGTTTTTTTTAATTATTCGTTAGTTTTTCTTTGTTTAATTTCTTCTACACCTATTCCTCCTAACTCATCCGATGATTCCACGACTTACCCCGATAGAATCATAGATCATCACAATTCCAACGGCCAGGATTTTATTGATAGAAAAAATCGAGCCGACTTTATAAAAATGAAAATAAAAACGCGGCCCAGGCCCATTTAACCGTTGAAAATAACCTGCACACCCGAGAAGCGCGCTTTCTAGTCTCCGTCTCTCTCCTCTGTCCTCTCTCGCAGTCTCAGTGCACAATGGCGGGAAAGCAACTCTCAGGCGACGGCCTACCGGCGAACATCGCCGGAATGTCGAAGAACCAGCTTTACGACATCATGTCTCAAATGAAGGTATCCCCTGCATCCTTCGAATTGTCTATTTCTTCTCCAATTTTCCTTCCGAAATTTTCTGTCCCTCCAAACACCCAAAATTGACCTACGAATAATGTCGACGTTCGTTTTCTTTGTTTCTTTGAATGCAGAATTTGATAGAACAGAACCAGCAGCAGGCGAGGCAGATCCTCATTCAGAATCCGCCCCTCACCAAAGCCCTTTTCCAGGTTCCTAATTTTTTAGGGTTTTAGGGTTCCTTTATTTCGAATTTTCCGCTTTTATTTGGTTTTGATTCAGAGGATTTTGTGTGGTTAGGATTTGGTTTGTGTCAATTTTGGTGCTTTTCTTCTTTTCTTGATTTCTTGAGATAATTTTGTGTGATTAGGGTTCAAAATTCAAATGGTACGAATGGCTTTGTTAGGAAGTTGCTTAATTTAGTTCCAAATGAGAAATTTAGTTCCAAATGAGAAAATTTGATTTTCCTTTTGTTAAGTGCTAAATTAATTTGTGATTTATGTTTTTGTATCATGCTGTTTAAGAGTTTGGAGAATATATTTGTTAGGCATTTGTATTACGCGATTACTGATTCGTGGTCGCTGTTAAGTAGGTTGTTGCTCTGGAATTATCGATTTTACCTTTAACTACTGATATGATTGCTGATTGTGTTTCTGCATTTTGTATTTGTTCACAGGCACAGATTATGCTTGGAATGGTGCGGCCACCGCAAGTGGTATGTTTTTTCTTTTTCCAGAAAGCTTGTCGTTTAAGTGTTTTCATATTTGTCCACTTATGTTATATGCTAAATTGAGGTTGTCTGTAGATTCCCAGCATTCAGCCACTGACGTCACATAATTCTCAGCAGTCGACACAACAAACTCAGCAGCCAAGCACTCAGGCTGCTCCCTCATTGCCCGGTCAAGTTGGTTTGCAGGACCAAACTGGGCCATCTCAGATCCAAGCTCCTCCGAGAAAGCAATACCAAAACCAACCGGCAATGCCTGGTTCATCAGCTGGTGCTCCATCTATAAATGTTCAGTCTCAGCCTATGCCTTCACGTCCCCTGCTGAGCCCACAGCAGCCTAAGGGACATCTAAATCCTCAAATGACCCAGACTTCTCTTCCACAGTCCTCTCAACTCCCAAATATGCCTGCACATCCTCTTCATTCTTCTTCACAGCCACCTTCGCTTCATCAAACCCAAATGCCTGCTGTTTCCAGCCAGTTGCAACAGTCATTACAGACATCTGGAGTGTCTTCTCATATGCCATTGCAACCACCATTGCCACCACAACCAAGACCACCTTCAATGCCTAACTTCCATCACCAGTATCCGCCGCAAATGGGGCCCAACATGGGTTACCAACATGCTCCTCCCCAACATCTTTCACAATCCATGTTTCATGTAAGTTGAAGTTTATAGTTCACCAGTCATGATCAAATGTATGGCATATATGTGATTGGGCTAATTGTTTTTATTTTTTATCTGCTCAGTCAGGTACGAAACCCCCTGTTAGCGCTGGGCCTTCATTCCCACAGGGACAACCACCACTTCCAAGTCAACCACCACCTCAATCTATGTATCAGGTATACGTTTTTGTTTTTTTTTTTGTTTTATTCTCTCTTTTGCAACTGCGTAGTAAATCATTAGTTTATTAGTTAAGTATGCTTTGATTCTAGGTAATGTTTCAGTAGTTTTCTAGAATAAAAACGCATGCCCTGTTTACTCCACTTTTCCGTTTTGAGCTTTCATTGATAGTCCATTTTCAGTTTGGGTTGTGCTGTGAGTCAGGGTTTTCCATTTGTGCACTTCTAGTCGGGTTCTCGTTGAGGGGTATTCTAATCTTGTTGAACACGGTTTACTAATTGTCAGTTTGTCATCCCATGTTTGAAGGATCGGTGGAGGGCAAAAATCTAACCTTGCCTAATGCTTTTATCTTTCAGGGTGGAGGCATGCATTTAGGTTCAGAGTTCAACAATCAAGCTGGATCTTCCATGCAAGTTGATAGAGGATCGTGGATGTCCGGTCCACCAGAGAGTTCGACAGTGCCACAACTTTCAGGACCGCCACCGTTAGGTCCTGGTCAAATGGGCCCTGGCGGCCAGCCTCCTCGCCCGGCACCGGTAAGATATCTGCTACTTCTCATATTAGACTTGAGCCGGAGCTTTTGTTTATAGGTTGAGTTTTCCTATCAATCATCATTCGACTCTTATGCGCATTTGTGCAGTTGTCCCCTGAGATGGAGAAGGCACTGCTTCAGCAGGTCATGAGCCTCACACCGGAACAAATTAACCTCCTGCCTCCAGAACAAAGGAATCAGGTGCTACAGCTACAGCAGATACTGCGCCAATAAACTCCTGAATTTTTCAATATTTTCAGCCGGAATTAGGGACCGCGTTTAACTTCAATTTTTGCTCCGAGATATCGTTGTACCATTCAGTGATCCAAACTTATGCGACTTAATTTTATTACTTGATGCAAGAGTCTTGTAAAAACGACGTGTGGTAGTCGTATCTTTTCAAAATTTGATTTTCTTGTTTCAGAACGTTACAGCTTAACTAATCTTGAGATGTTAAATCTACATCCATTCGTGGTATACACAAAACGTCGTCGAGCAACGAAATACATCAGAATTTTGTCTATATGCTCAAAGCCTTTCTGTTTCTATGTAGGAGTTTTACTCCCTTGCTTCCAACGCAGTCGTCTTTGAAGTAATTGGAACCATCTTACGCTCCGAGTCGCAGATAATCATTCACATATTTAGACAGAAGCCACCAGGTAGGACTGCAAGACTAATTCTTACAAGCATCCCATGTTTTGCCGTCGTCAACAGTTCTTGCTCATGCTCGAAACTGATCATGTTCAAATGCGCGAAGGTTTTATTCTTCGTTTTCCCAATCAGAATCTTCACCATTGCCATCTGAATCCACGTATGAATCTTCATCTTCATCCTCACCTTCGTCCTCGCTCTGCAGATAAGAACCAAACATTTTACTCTCATTGCTTGATAAGGAAATAGTTAAGGAAAGCCAAAATCTGTCTAGAAGAGGCATGCTGAGAATTTAAACTCCCATGTTTCGCCCTCTAAACCGGCCACAGAACTATATAAACAATCTGGTTGGAGATCAGGATTCAGGACCACTTGATGGTAAATAGATGGCAATGAGAAACAGTATATCTCACTTGGACTAATTCCGAGGCACGATGAATCTGCTCGGGATCTCTCGAGCTCCAGGAACTATCATCAACATCATCTTCAGAAATACCCTGTTCACAATCAACAAAGCTATGGTCATAGGCATGAGCAAACACCCATACAAAAAACACAAAAATGTATCATGCATATTATTGGAGAAACGATAACTGTAATAGCAACAACCAAGTTGGCCGCGTGGGAGGGGGGCATACGCTTGGATCGCACAGTGAACAATGAAGATGAACAAACATATAGTGGTCAATGATTTTATCAACAGTGCTTCAGATATGTGTTGAAACGAGAAAATATAACTTACAACTTGAGATTTCATTTGTTCTATGTTCTTCTCCAGTTCAGATATGTGCTGACTGAGAGCCTGCATGGGACATATGAGATCTAGTGTGAGGTGAAGGACATCAACGAGAGAGAAATATCAGCGGAAATGTATTTCAACAAAAAATTGGGAAAAAAAAATAGTAACCTCATGGCGTTGCATGGCCACTGAGCGTTTTAATGCTTTAGCCTTAGTTAGAAGGTTCCTCGGCCTCAAGGTAATGGGTCGCCGATAATTCTTTCCACGATAGTAAATGAGAGCATATCCCTTTGGAACTCTTTCTATTGCCACAAGTATACCACCACTCTCATATTCCAATAACCTAGCTGTATCTTCAACAAAAGCAAGAGTCTTTTGCTTGCTTATTAATTTCACTAGTTCTCTGTGCTTCCAATGCAAATGCATGTTTTCAACGACACCATCAAAGACACCACGTATACCTGGTACAATATGTAATAAAGGCCATCAGTGTTTCAGCTAAATATTTTATCTTCACCTCAAAAATTAGAAGATTACTTACCCAGAGGCAAGTATGCTTTCATTCTCAAACCAACCCTACGAAACATAACCCGTTCCTCATCAGTGATTGTTTCCTGATCATAATCAGGACCCGCAGGAAGCATTAACGATTCTATCTTGGATAGCAGTTTCTCTGCTCTTAGCTTTTTGGCTTGGGCCTGTCAATGAATTCAGAATCTCAAACTAAGGTATATATGAATCTACATATATCCTTTCTTCCGCAACTAAGTTATGTCTAATGAAAGTTAATGATATATTTTGGATAAAAACATGTTGCAAAAAGGTACCACTCTAGTACCTGGATTTTTTTCATTAAGTCGAGTCAATTCCAAAACTACTGTATTCACAAGGAGTGAGAACAAGACCCTCACAGGCTCATCCACTAATAGAAAGATATAGAAAAAACTTACAACACCTAGTTTATGCTCAATTCGTCTGACAAGCTTAGCATTCTTAGCTCTTGAATCTTCTTCAATCATCTTTTCCCGTTCTTCAGCAGATATTTCTCTTCCCCAACGAGCTTGAGCCTCATAAAACTCAGCCAAAGTCCCTGCAAGTGCCTGTCCTTCCACTGCACCTGAAGAAGCCGCATCTATTGCTTTAATCCGCACTTTCTCTTCAACATCTTGGACTTGTTTCGTCAGCTCCTGTCTTTCAGACAGAGCAGCAGCCACACTTGTTGGGACAAAATCCTTCCCACGGTAAATGACAATGTAATATTTGTTTCTGAGCAGTAAAACACCACCTGTTAAATTCTGCAAAATTGAAGGAGCTTTAAATCAGTACACTTTTGGTATTATTCCATAGGTAACAATCAGAAAAAAATTACAAAAACAAACCTTAAAACTAATTGATAAAAAGAGAAAACCAAATATGCTGAGTGCCTCTTCAACCTTAGATTTGGTAGAAAATGCAAGGCAGAGGCATAACGGCAAACTCATTAACAAGTATTAACAGATTTAGCCAGGTTCCTTAATTAGAAGGATGGTGTTTCTCGTTTTGGCCTTTAAAAAATAATAATAATGCAGACTAAGGTTGAGAAATTTTTAGCAGGAAGAACTAGAAGTGCCCTAATGGACATGAACGAAAGGTAAACAGTCACACAAAAAACACAAGGTTTGATGGTAATGTAGGATAAGAGACAATGTAGGACAGACCTTTATCTCCTCAGCCATCAACTTGTTGTTTGTATTCTGGATACCTCGTTTGACAGCAATCTTTGCAACAGAGCTTTTCTCCCAAAGTTTAATAATAGCCAATGCCAACCCTTGATGGTTTCTATTTCTCCCTTCATCAAGAAATTAATAATGAAGTGTTATGTCAAATACTGACACGGAAAACTGAAGAAAGGTACATAGAAGAAGATTTCTACCAAGGGCAAAATGACAAGGAAGCGATTTGGCAAGCTTCCGTAAAGTAGTAATCTCTGCATTAGTCAGCCTCGACCGCATCCCAGTAGGGAGAAGCCTGAAAGGAGTTTTGTAACCAGGGATTGTTTTGGGAAGCAAATCAGCATCAACAGGAAGTACTCCAGTACCCCACCACTCGACAAAACGAGGACCTAAATCATCCAAGAGGCTGTGAAACTCAGCTTCCTCCTCCGTCATGTTATGAACACGCTCTGGGATTTTCAATGCTTGCTCAGTCTTATCTGGACCTGAAGTTGCTTCATTGCCACTTCTCATCTCCGATGTTTCAGGTGACGATATCTCTGGGATAAAAAGACCACTCCTTTCCCCATCAACAGTTTGGGATTGAGAAGGTCCTTTGTAGTTACTCCCTCGGTACACAACCATAACACTTCCTGACCGCCACAAAACTAACCCTCCCATTCGACGCTGACCAATCACTACAAGCAGTCAGTTACATTACGAAAGTAAAATGCTTCTACATGTTCATTTCTAAACTATACACATACAATTCTAAGTTGCATTCAGCGAGTGTTATAATTTATACTCAACACACTTATATACAAATGAAATATTGATCATATAACACCAAAATCCGAAAATTCGAGAACTTCACAAACCTCAACAATCTCGTGGGCTGTCTTCATATCCAATGCCAGCACCTCATGGAACTTGAGCCTCACCAGCTCCGTCTTCCGCCACATATCGTGAATCTTCTCTAGCACCGCCTGCGTGATCCCGGCCTTCGGCACACTAATCCTTTCCCTAAGCACCATCCCCATTCTCCTCAGCCGCTTCAGTTCCTCGTCCTCAATCGTCAATTCCGCCAACGACGGTGCTTTCCCTCTCCTCTTCCTCAATCCCTTCACCTCCTCCTTGTCACTCACCTCCTCCTCTTTCTCCCACGGCAATGCCACCTCATCACCGCTCTTCTCCTCCTCTAATACATAATCCGGCCGGACCCACTCCCGCTGCAACAAATCCCCGAGCTTCTCCTCTCCGCTTGCCGCCGGCACTGGATCCTGACCGTCCAATCCAATACCATCATCTTGCTCCTCATCGTCCGACCCCAACCCCAAGTTCCGCAACCGAAGCACGATTCTCTCAATCGCGCTCTGGCCTTTATCCTTGTCGAAGTACCGAGTCGTATCCGCCTTGCCATCTTGCTCTCGCCCATGCGACTCGCTGACCTTATCGTTCACTTTCTGGCGGGGCAATTCGGTGGGAGAGCTACGATTGGGCCACTTGTTGAGCCAGGGAGCGGAGGAGGCGGGTCTGGATTTGTGCTGCGGGGGTTTGGCGTTCGCACTTCCACCGTGCTCGGTGGTTCTGACGGTGGAGGAGAATGTTTTGACGATGCGAAATGACGGTTTTGGGGCCGAGAACAGGAGTCTGAGGGAGGAGGGCGAGTGAGAGGTGAGTGGGAGTGAGCTCCTGAGTGGCATTTCGGAAATTTTCGCGGTTGTGAAGGCCATTTCTGGTGAATATTGAATTAAATAGTGAGCTTACTGCAGCTGCTGACGGCGGTGCGCTGTCATTGTCTGGCTGGTCGGAACTCGGAAAGCGGTGGAGCGACGGGAGGCTGGAGACGAAGACTCTGCGTGTAGTTTTGGAGGGAGACGATAAGATTTTTTTCTGGGAAAATTTCGTATACATCTGTTTCTTGTATATATATATATATGGAATCTTATCGAGGGCACATCTGTAATTTTGTCGGCAGAGAGCTCTTATTCTTGCACTGGTACGGAAATTCTCGAGCCCTTTCATAGATGACATATGGTGCTGAATTTAATCGTTTCGAGCGTATTAATGAATTACATATATTACTGAATTTAACTGTTAAATTTAGATAAGGGAATCGATATAAGCTACTTATGGGAAAGGATTCTCTTCGGATCATTTCCATCAAGGTACACGATCTGGATATTTGAAATTTGATTCAACAGTTAAAATTATTATAACTTTTTAAAGTGGTGTTTATAGTTGTTGGATCAAATTTTAAAAACCCGAATTGTGTGCCTTGGTGGACTTGATTGAAAGGATCCGGAGAGGATCCTTTCCCCTACTTATGAAGTAGTGATGCATAATAGAAGCTCCCATTTCAGATTCTTGATTGATTTCAG